TGTAGGGATCGCTGATTGGTCAAGAAGTGAGGGGTGAAATCATGGGACAGGGAGATGAAGAAACGGCATTCCTGTGCTGGGTTGGTTCCTTGGTGAGTGTCTTCAGGCTGGTTAGCACCAGCCATTCTGCTGGAATTCAGGATCTGAAAAACACCTTAAGCAATTCTTAAGTAAAGTAAAAAGGTCCAGTATCAGAGATTCTTTTTTTTTTTTTTTTTTTTTTTTTTGAGACAGAGTCTCAGTCTGTCACCCAGGCTGGAGTGCAAATGGCGTGATCTTGGCTCACTGCAAACTCCGCCTCCCAGGTTCAAGTGATTCTCCTGCCTCAGCATCCTGAGTAGCTGGGATTACAGGCACCTGCCACCATGCCCAGCTAATTTTTGTATTTTTAGTAGAGTCGGGGTTTCACGAGGTTGGCCAGGCTGGTGTCAAACTCCTGACTTCAGGTGAGCTACCTGCCTCAACCTCCCAAACTGCCTGGGATTACAGGTGTGAGCCACCATGCCTGGCCCCCAGAGATTCTATCTAAAGGAACAATGGGGAAGTAAGTGGTAAACATGCTCCTTTTAGCTAACAGCTGCAGGGAAGTGGGTCACAGTGCACCAGCACACCTTGGTCAATGCCTACCTATGATTTTGCCTAAAGCCTGGCTTGTAATTCTCATTAACCCTGTGAGGGCAGTTTCACGTTTATGCCATTCCAGCTGTTCTCTTGTAACTCTCTATGGTCAATTCTTACAGCATCGTGGCCTATAAACAAGTCCCATGGTCACCATATGGAGACATCACAGAGAAATGAAGATGCTTACCTGCAGGAGCTGAAAACACCAGCCATGGCCAGACCCCCAGAAGACAAAAGAAGGGACCGGGGAACTGGTGACCAAAGCAACCCACTGCTTAAGAAACCCACGTTCCAGGCAGAGTTGGCCTCAGTATGACCTGCTTTGGCTCAGGGATCCCTGGTGGATGGGGAAAAGCATTTTCCTGGTGATGGAAAAACGTTCTTAGCTTTAAGATACTCCTGTTAGGCAGAGATTGGGTTCTGTGACAGCAGAACATGAACTTAAGGGTTATAGGCAGGCTGCATACAGCAGTCCCAGGCCCTGTGAGGGGTTTCAGACTCCAGCTACAGCGAGCCTGCCCCTTTTCTTCAAGGGATTGTCTTGAGGGCTCCAAGGTATAGCTAACTAGTCACTAGGATGCTGTGCTGAAAGTCCCATGGGAGAACTCAAAGCGTGCATTATCACAGCCTGAGAGGAATGTGGAAGGAATGTTTTGTAAGAACTATCAACAGTTTTGCATGAACAATGTCTTTTAAATTAAAATAAAACCTTGAAAAAAGCCAGCTTTCTTTCCTGAGTCTTCCTTGGCTACAAACACTCAGGAGGGGGATGGAGCTCAGACCCTTGTCTTCTGGGTAGTTTTGTTATTACTGTTGCTTTTAAGAAGCAAATGTCACAAGGCTTTCTTCAATGGGATATTCAATTGAGTACTTCCAGTCAACAGTGCTTCCCAAAGTGGGTGGTGTGAAGAACGAGGAGATACATTAAGAGCTGTTTTATTTGAGGTACTCATTTTTATAACCTCATTTACTTGGATTTATAAAAGCAGACTCACCTAATAAAATCAACATTCATTGTATGAGTGTGTGAATCATTCTTTCCCAGGTCAGATTCTGTCTATGACTACAGACTTGACGTTCTTATACAGGGTAAGACACAAGGCTAGAGAATACATTCAAATCTCAGGGTATTTGGGCTCACAGAGTTTGTACCTCTAATCCTCTTGCAGGGAATGAACAAAACTCTGTGACACATCTAATAAGGTCCAGGCCCCATGCTAGGTGCTGAGATACAGAAAGAATAGCATGTGACTGTGTCTGCTCTAGCAGAGTGCTGTCTAACAGGCGAAGCAGACAGAACATCAGACAGGGATGTCTCCTTCCACTGGGAAGGAGCTAGTGCCCTTGCACTGAACATGAGCAGAGCAGATGGGATGGGAAAGATGAGTTCAAGAAATTCAAGATCACGTTCAACCTCTCCAACCTCACTAATATAAGGGAGCATAGAATCCAGATTCAGGAGAGCAGGGAGGGCATCCCAGAAGTGACTTCTACGATAAGGCTGGAAGGGTAAGTAGGAGTTACTAAGGCCAGATGTTGGGGGACATTCCAGGCGGAAGGAACACCATGCTGGAAGGCCTGAAGGTGAAAATATATCAAAGGTTTAGGAATTCAGTGTGAAGGGAGCAAAGATGGAGGGACAAGTATTACGGAGGACAGTAAGATGAGACTGGGGTGATAAGGAGGAATAACATAAAATATCCTTTCAAAAGAAAAAGATGTTTCTCTTCAGAGTAAATGGGGATAGCTGTTGGAAGGTGTTAAGCAGGAACACGGAGTGCTTAAATTTGCATCTTAGGAACAGCTCCCTGGCAACATTGAGGACAATGAATTGGTGGAAGGAGTGAGCAAGCTTAAAGAAAGGAGAAGAGCTACGAGGCCCTTGCAGTAAACCAGGTGAAGGATAATGGCAGACTGACTGCCCAGCCTTAGTGGCTCAGGCCTATAATCCCAGCACTCTGGGAGACCAAGCTGGGAAGATCACTTGAGGCCAGGAATTTAGCACCAGCTTGAGCAACATAGTGAGACCCCATCTCTACAAAAAAATTTTAAATGACCTGAGTGTGGTGGTGTGCACCTATAATCCCACCTACTCAGGAGGCTAAAACGACAGGATTGTTTGAGCCCAAGAGTTCAAGGCTGCAGTGAGCTAAGATTAGGACACTATATATACCCCTCCCTGGGTGAGACAGCAAGACTGTCTCTAAAAAAAACATAAATAAATAAATAAATAAATAAATAAATAAAAAATAAATAAAATTAAAAATGATAGCAGATGTAGGGTAAGAAGCTATAAACATGGAGAAAAGTAGATAGACATGGAAAAATATTTGGAAGCTAGAGGCTACAGGAGTTGGTTAATGGATGGATGCCACAGGGTGAGGTAGAAGGAGGCCAGAATGACTCAGATTTGGGGCTCAGGCCACTAGGAAAAAGGTAGCACCCCCTCTCCCAGAGTCTGGCAATATGAGCAGAGCAGATAGGATGGGAAAGATGAAGTCAAGATCATGTTCAACCTCTCCAACCTTACTCATCAATATGCTCATTCCCCAACTCCTTACCTTCTACTCCAGCCTCTGACCAGCTCCTCAGCCTAAATGAATCCAATCCTTCCTACTCCTGAGAAGCCTCTTACTGCTTAGAGAAATGTCCTTCGTTGTCCACATTGACCCTGCTATAAACTTGTGTTTTTTAACCTGAGCTGAGCTCTCAAAACCTAAGTATTGGCTCCTTTTCAACCCCACCTGTCACCAGGGTAGGAGTTTCAAACCTTGTCAGCTTTCCCAGGGTCACCATTTCTTCTAACAGATGTTCTCACCCAGTGGTTCTTGGACCAGCAGCAACAGCATCACCTGGGAACTGGTTAGAAATGAAAATTCTGGGGTCTCACCCAAGTCAAATTCTAGGACTGGAGCTCAACAATTGGTGTCTCACAAGTCCTCATTGAAGAATCACCATTCTCACCTATGGGGCCCGATTTTTTTCTCAAGAATTTTCTCTGAGTCCTCCTCCTCTCTCTGCATCCTTAATTTTTTTTTTTTTTTAAAACAGTCTTACTCTGTTGCCCAGGCTGGAATGCAGTGGCACGATCTCAGCTCACTGCAACCTCCGCCTCCCGCGTTGTGATTCTCCTGCCTCAGCCACCTGAATAGCTGGGATTACAAGCATGCACCACCATGTCTGGCTAATTTTTGTATTTTTGGTAGAGACAGGGTTTCGCCATATTGGCCAGGCTGGTCTCAAACTCCTGGCTTCAAGTGATCCACCTGCCTCGACCTCCCAAAGTGCTGGGATTATAGGCATGAGCCATTGTGCCCCGCCTGTATCCTTAATTCTTGAGACCCCCAAGGTCCTGTCCTTGGTTCTCTTCCCATGCAATCTAGTCCACTCCCATGGACTCAAGAACTTCACTTCCAACAGCTAAGTCAACATCTCTACCTGGATTTCCTCAAATCTAAAGCCAAACCAAGTTTTCCTTCTCACACCCCACCACCTAAGCTCATTCCATCTTTTTTGATCTTTAATTTTTGTAGAGACAGGGTCTATGTTGCTCAGGCTGGTCTTGAACTCTTAGGCTCAAGTGATCTCCTGCTGTGGACTCCGAAAGTGCTGGGATTACAGGAATGAGCCACCACGCCCAGTCTCCATCTTTTGTCTTTCTCTTCTGATTTTAGCTAATGGCGTCACCTCCAAATCCCAGGCTGGCAATCTCCCAGTCATCTCCAGTCCATTCCCCTCCCCTCTAAGAGTCTCTTAAATCAGCTATTTTCACCTCCCTTTATCACTTCTTGCCATGGCTTTTGGCATCTATTCCTCTCCATTCTCCAGGCCTTCAGTCTGACACAGTCCTACAGTATTCTATTTCCATCATCTTCTTAAAAAGAAAACAGGGCCAGGCACAGTGGCTCATGACTGTAACCCCAGCACTTTGGGACGCCAAGGCAAGTGAATCACTTGAGCTCAGGAGTTCAAGACCAGCCTGGGCAACATGGCAAAACCCCATCTCTGCGAAAAATACAAAAATTAGCCGGGCATGGTGGCACGCACCTGTAGTCCCAGCTACTTAGGAGACTGAGGTGGGGTCACTGCTTGAGCTCGGGAAGCAGAGGTAGCAGTGAGCTGAGATCAT